CTACTCCGCACTCGCCTACTCCGCACTCGCCTACTCCGCACTCGCCTACTCCGTACTCGTATCAGCGTTCTCTTACTAGTCTTAGCTATTACACAGATGATAGCATTCGATTCTGAATTACAAACCAGAAGTTGGAGTACATACATGTATCGCTGATCTGCGATCTGTCCGCAGCGCAGCTCACATCTTCTGCACCAGGTACTATGTCCTTCCATGTGTGTGTGCTTGATGTGTGCTGTACGCGCGTGCTGTACAGCGCTGCCGTGGTTACCATGGTGACGAAACAGGCTCCATAAACCGTAGTTTATTTTGAGGCTCAATACGAACAAACCATGGGCATACAGTCATTAGCCCTTTCCCAAAGGTGCTCGCCCTCTTTTCGCCCTTTTTGGACATTTTTGGAAAAGCAGGTTTCTCTCGCCCTTTATTGCGTTTTTTGGTGAATATCGCCCTTTTTGAGCTTTTTTAGCTGAAAAAGTGCTAAAATCTGTTTGCTCATGCATACGATCACAGTTTCCGAGTGCTCGATGGGCCTTGGCACGCCGCTTTTTTGCATTTTCGGGGGCAACAAGTTGGTGAAGCTTGTACATGTACATGTACGTGGTGTACAGAATGCTGTAAAAGTGGGTTTTTTGAACTTTACTTCCTGTTTTGCCTTTCGTGGACCCATAAATGGAAGAAGGCGTATTCATTTCTCAGCTTGGGTTCATATCTGAACATGTATCATGGCTATGATTCACTGAAAAAGAGCACTTTTTGCCTGTTTTCACTAAAAAAAAGAGCACTTTTTAGCATATTTTGAGGGACGCGAAAAGCACTAAGTGCGAATTAAAAGAGCACCTTTGGGAAAGGGCTGGCATACATGTACTACATGTACTGTAAAAGCTATAATAACGAAGTGCTAACTCTAACGAGTTAACGAGGAGAAATCTGCCGCTAAAATAGAAATCGTTATACAGAAATCGATACATATACATGTACATGTACTGTCCTATTGAGCGTTGAGAATGAGTGAGAATCGTTACCTTTGGTATACGTAAACTAGTCAATTTTGGGAAGTTGTTACATGTATATATGCGCCTCGTTAATGGCTTTTACAGTATGTTGACTTTGAAGCAGGCAGGCAAAGTGGGGCCTCTTCTTTTCCTGGTGTACACGATCGACCTCCCCTCAGCATGTACAAACTCTCACACTAAATGCAGCCAGTTCGCCGATGACACGGCACTCATCGCGACGCATTACACGAGGGATTTGTCAGCTGCATTCCTCCAACGTGCCGTGGACGCAGCAGGACGATGGTTGAAGGATTGGCATCTCCTCGTCCACACCACGAAAACCGTCGTCCTTTCCTTCCAACCCCAACACACCATCCACATCACGCTCCACTCGACTCGGCTGCAGCAGGTCCACCAACATAGGCACCTTGGTGTTACACTCCAAGACGATTTGCGATGGACCCAACACATCATAGAAACCACCAACAAAGCCAAAAAACTACTACACCAACTCCACAAGACACGTGGCACAATGAACGCTTCCAGCCTATTGTCAATATACACAACCTACATCCGACCCGTTCTCGAATATGGCAGCCTTGCCCTCTCCAACACCACACAGCAACAGCGGGACACACTGGAGAGAATTCAACGCCGTGCTATACGCATCTGCCTTCGGATTCCCCTCTTTGCACCAGTTCACCACAGCTCCCTCCTCCATCACGCAAAGCTCCCCACCCTTAGCTCACGACTCCTTGTTTTAAAAACAAGCCCTACTAGCATGGGACATCCACCACCAAACCTCCCCACCACACCTGCAACAACCATATCTTGCACCCCAACGTCAACACCAACCATACACCCTTCGACAGACAAGGACCTACTCCATCGGACACACACACACGAACAGGCACCGAGATTCCCCCATCAACAGTGCCCTCACCCTCTACAACTCACTCCCTATCGACATCACAACCCAACCTCGTAGAAATTCTTTCCGAAACAATGCACCCAGTCTTCTTTTGAGCAGTACCTGCTCCTGCTCCGCGCATCCCCCTGGTTTCTGATATCTCGAACGTGTACTTAACTATCTCGATCACCCCTGCTAACGTTATTGCCCCCGCTTGTTTTTCATGATCCATTGCTTCTTGCCTCCCGGTTAATTTCCATCTAGCTGTTTCTGGCTAGTACCAGTTCTATCGCACTTATTAATCATCCTTATTGGCGTCACGCCATCGTGGAATAAAAGAATATATATATAAAGTGGGATGGTCTAAGACCATGATTGAGAAACAGAGGGTACCAGGTTCAAGTCCTGCTTGGAAGCAGAAGGATTTTTCCAGCCGTGCTGCGACCCACAGGGAACTCGTGGCCTGGCACGAGGAGAACATGGATGCAGTGAATGGGATTTTCGGTCTTTGACCACTTGCTGGTGAGCTGATCTACTCACCTCCCACCGCTTTAGGAGCTGCATCTGCGCCTTGATCCTTGAAGGGTGGTGGCGTTCCTACGGATGCGGAAAACTCGGTTTCCAGCCGAGTCTCACGCGAACCGTGAACATTTTTTTAAATTAATTTTGACTTTGAATTATTTTTTCTTATCATTCTTCCGATCACGCTATCATAGATTTGCAATAAAGTTCATTGTTACTGTATAACAAGTGAGTACTGGTCACTGTTAGAAGCGACTTCACAACCCTGCAGTGCCACAAAACAAAGGTCAATCGCGTGTCACATTAGTAGTGTCAGCTTTGGCTCCGGTGCGGGACATTGATGTACATGTATGTCCGCGACAGTGATGGAGAATGTCGCCGCAGACTGAATCTGTGCATGCATGCTTATGGTCGATTGAATGGTATACATGTACACTCAAACGCCTCTTATCCGGACGCCTCAGATACGGGCACGCCTCTCTACCGGGCCGGCACCTTTAGCTTGAGTTCCTATAGCACAAATGCTTCGAATTTGAGGGTTTTGAACTTTTTTCCGTATGTGGAAGTGCTTACGTTTCACTGCCAACCTATGTAATCCCCACATTTGTATCAATGGGTCCCTTTGTATCCTCAACATGTGCAATACGTGCCAAATAATGTATTCTTACATGACACGTGATCGTTGCCGGGGCCATGGCCAATAGGCGATCTTCCCGCCGCGGGCATAATCAGGCCATCAGGACCGTTTGACGTCATTTCGGGAATGTTCGGACCGTTTGACGTCATTTCGGGAATAAGTTTTCGACCTTTCGACCTTTCCACCTTTGACCTTCCCTAATATGTTGCTTCGCGCTGTAAGAAATCAAATCAAGCACGCTCTGTCTGTCATGATGGCTGAATCTTGCCCTTGCCTGCAGCCCTCGGGCCTACGGCCCTTGGGCTGCAGGCTCGGGCAAGATTCAGCCATCATGACCTCCTGAGCGTGCTTGATTACATACCTCCTACTACAATTGTAGTACAGTCATGTACATGTACAATGACTTATGTACGGTCATGTACGTGTACAGTCGTGTACTAGTACATAATACTCAATGATGCAGACAGCCAGACTGTTTCGGCCAATGAGGCCTCATCGATCAGTGCAACTCCGAGCTTAAAAAAATTAATAATTAGGATTGAACAGTACAGTCATGTACATGTGTCTGTCCGTACCCGTGCACCTCTGACCTGACTGTCACCTGAGTTGACTTCGCAGACGCAGGAGAAGTAGACCTAGTACAGCTGTACAGGCTTGGCCAAAGAAATCCGACCCACGTGCCGAAAGCAGCGCCAAGGCTCATGCGGCCTCTGCGGCTCTTGATGCTGGGATCAGTTATGGGTAGGCATATGCGGATAATGCCGGCAGAAAAATTGGCCAGAATTCGGTAGATTTTCTGGTAAGTTTCATGCATGTTTTGTATAGGGATAAAGAAATGGAGCAGAACTCGAGGAATTGCCCGCCATAAGGTTTGTATGGTTCTGCCAATTTCACTGCTTTTCGAGCAGAATCTGCGACCTTTTCGAGCATTACTCGCACACCCCTAGTTATGGGAACCTGCATGACGTACACGTACCTGTACATGTACATGATTGTCAACCAGTTCAGCGCCGCCAATATCAGCCGACTGGCATTTCAGCACTCTTATAGTTCAGCGCGCATAAGAGGGGCGCTGGTGTCAGCCGAGCTGAAATGGGTTTCGCGGCCGATGTGGGAGCACACCATGTACATGATTGTACATGTACATGTACAATAATAGTTACACAAGCCAGAACAACAGAGACCAAACATCTTTCTCGTTACTCCGAGTTTCGTGTTCCAAAACACTCATCAGACGAGAAAGATTTTTGGTCTCTGTTGTTCTGCCTTGTGTAGTACGCTCTGCCCTTTGAGGTATTGAGCACTACGTCACGTGCAGCAAGGACTTCAGACACGTTTGTGATTGTAATAGCTACACGCAACGTTTGACTCTCGGATCTGATTTCTTTGGCCACGACTGTACGGTTGTCGTGTGAGAGAATGCAGGTTTAGGCACGTGACATGAAAGCACTCGAGTGACTCGAGCCAAGGACAAGGTGACATTGAACACCAGCTGTCAAGCAAGATCTGAATAGAACGCTGCGATGACAGGCGTTTGAAAGCTGCTACTGTTGACATTACACAACGCGCTGCGCGCGATGCATGCTCGGCACATGTAAGAGGCACATGTGATCGCCTCGAGGCGTCGAGGTGTCTGCGGACCCCCGACTGTGCACATTCACCATTTTGTCAACTGTCTCCCGGCTCACAAACGTACTGCTGGCAGGCCTAGGGCCTGTACCGTCACTTTTGACACGTGCAGCGGACCGCAAAGTCTCTTTCATTCACCTGGCACGCGGACATGACTCAGTATTGCTCAGATTCTCCGTGAAGCCTGAAGGTGCTAAACAGCAATACTGTTATCTGCCAAGATGTAGCGGTCCGAAAGAAGTGTTCCCATGATCTAGTCCAGCAGACCGTCAGTGCCCTGAACGCGTTACCCGTAGATCTACGGCATCAGACCATTCCTGACCAGATGCCGTGGCTGGGGCGGGGGCGGAACCAGCACAGATTTCGAAGCACAGTACTAAACGATGGTAAGCAATGGCAGAAGGCCAGTGCCCTGGACATAAACACTCGCACATACAATGTCAATGTAGCCCCATCAACAAAACCAGGGAAATCGAATCTCCCTAGCCTCCCAGTGCCTTGGACTCACGCATACCAGCCGTCAAGCCGATCAATAGAAGAGGAGTAGGAAATTCGTATCGGAATCGCCCACCTTTAATTCTCATTGCCTTTCACTGGCACATACTCTGGCCTCGACCCAAAGAAGCTGCGTTAGAAAATCGAATCGCCCAAGCTTCATAGTGACTTGGACCCAAACACTAGCCCTCAACCCTTTCAACAGAAGCCGAGTAGGAACATGGAATCGCCCTAGCTTCTCAGCGCCTTGGCAGGCCGAGATGGTAGCACAGACTTGGACGTGATAAACAGTTACTGACGCTGGTCGGTTGTGCCAGGGACGTACTCGTCAGGTTTAGTTCAGGCGCATTCTGCAAGGGTCGCGTGCAGCCAGTGCTGAAACTTGTTCACAGCGAGGCTACGAGCTGCTTTGCTTTCGCGTTCCAACGACCAGTCGCTGAGTCAGTGATCGTCGATTGTCCTGGCAGTCCTCTGCTGTAGTGCAGCACTCTGTATAGAGGATTGGCGTTCAGGCTGCAAAGCGGAAACACGCTGTGTACGTTTCTTGATCAGCACGCGCACACGACGCCAGACTGGGATAGCCTGAGCACCCGACCAACAGCTCTTGAAGTACTACTGCAGTCGCTAACCTAACGCTGTCACCCGTTCGTGCCCGAGGTCCTGACGAACCCCAGCTCATGGTTGTGCACACTACCACAAGGACAACTCTAGGCGTTAGCAAGCTAGAGTGTGAGGACCGACAGACCATCCGCGTGTGTGTGTGTGTGTGTGTGTGTGTGTGTGTGTGTGTGTGTTGGGAGATAGTCCGCTTCCAATAATATAACGGCGTGTGGTTCTCTAACGTTTCAGTTATCACCTGAACCCGAACGGTGCTACATGGTGCTGAGTTCGTCTGAGTTCGCTACTCCTCTCCGTGGAGTCAACTGGATTTTGAGTGCGGACCAGCTGGGGCAGACGACAGGGTCACACCTCGGTGGACGTGGAAAGCGCCGACGTCTATCCCGGTGCCCCAGGGAGGCAGTGGCGCGTCGACTCGTGGATTTCGCAGATAAGGTGAGAAGGTCGCCGCATTAAACATGCCATGTAATTATAAACACGATGAAACTGCAAATCTGGACTGCTGACATGATTAGGTTGGTGCAGAGTAGTATTATTATGACTGAGACTCTACTACGATTTTGTGCTAAGTCATTATGCATGTGTGCGGGCCATATTGTAATACAGGCGTGGCCATTATTATTATTATTATGATCCACCTTGTTGGTCTTAATTAAGAGCTACGCTTGTGGTCCGTACCTGCTCACACAAGAGGCTTGAAATGGTCAGGGATAGTGAAGCTTTTCACTGACCGCCGCAATTAAAAATCCACTCGAATAAGAAGCTAGCCGCTTGGTATTTCACACCGTGTGACAGTGATGATAGAAATGACACGTGCTGGAAAGGTCTTGCCTCTTGGGCTGCAGGTTTTTGCCCTGCGTTGGACGCGTCCCAGATGGACCTTCCGGGTGTTTGAAGCACGACGTTGGTCGCTGCCTTAGAATAGGCTTTTGTTGTGGCGCGCAAGGCTTCATGTAGAACGCAGGGTAGCTGGAACGTAGGGTAGCTGGAATGTTAATCTAATTATGTACCCGCTGTGTTCATAGTCATTCGTGTATGTACATGTACACCGTACATGTATACACGAAGGCAAACCGTTACTTTTAGAGACCAAAATGTGGATTATTCTTATCATTATTAATGCCGATCCGTAGCTCTGAGTTGGGTAAACGCCACATGTGTAGAATCATAAGAATGTCATGTACAGTCAACTTTGCTTATAACGTTAGAATATCATGTACAGTCAACTTTGCTTATAACGACACTCGGTGGGGCATCAGAATGGTGTCGTTATAACCGAAGCCTCATTATAATTATGTATTACAGTGGGATGGGACTTTGCTCTGGGCATGGAAATTCTGTCGTTATTCGCGAATTGTCGAAATATCTGGAGTCGTTATAAGCGACGTTCACTGCATGCTTACACATGTACATGTGTAAGCATGCAGTGAAGAACACACAGAGAAAACAAGCAGTAATGTGTAGGGATAAAGATTGCGGTTATAAATTACTGTCTCCTCACGGTTGGTTTCATAAAGAAAGAGTGTCAAATAAAAGCAGCATTTGGAACTCTGCGTAACAGCTCGCATGTACATGTACATGTAGATGTTTTGCTCACTGTGTTAATACTTAATAGTACCGTCAGTTGTACTGAGTTCTGCTCCCGTGGCATGATTGGTATCGGAGCACGTTCAGCAAACGTGAAGCAACACTTCAATCCAGACCGTTGATTTTGTAGAGTGAGTGAGGTTGGCATAGCTACATGTATAGAGGCCATGAGGATATCAGTGGGAATACCGTAGACGTGTAGACCAAAATCGACTCGTCCACCAGTCAGTGATGCCTGGGTAACCAGTCAGGCTACCGCAAATATCCTGAGTGTGAAAAAGGCAAAACGTGACGTCTGCGTCTGACGAAGTGTGTGTGTGTGTGTGTGTGTGTGTGTGTGTGTGTGTGTGTGTGTGTGTATGGTGGATTAGTGCTTCCTTGGTTTTAAGCTGCATCCATAAGGCATAACACAACACCTTTGGGCCACAGTGTGGGCATAGCCTGACAAGGCCGTACACACAATGACCCTGCACACAGGATATGCCGGGCACCTCGAGGCAGAACAAACACAATCTGCAGCATCAGCAAGCCATAGTTTTGCCCTTTGCACTTTCAAAGGACCAACATCGTACTCGAGCGGAACGAGATCGCCTTGAGCCAAGCCAGGTGGTGGTCACATATCGGTCGTAAACATGAAACTGGTGTCTGGTGTCTTGTGGTGCAGCAGTTTCTACAGCTCATGTACACTAAAGACGCAAATGCCTGCAGCTTCAAACCGCGAACCGAGAGGTCCTTCAATTAATGTAGTACTGTGTGCTTGCCTCACCAGCACAGGCTTGCTTTGCAGCCCCTACTCTCCCTGCTGTTTTGTCATTGTATACTCTGTTGTCTTCTCCCCTTCTGACGAGTAGGTTTTGTACTTAGTAAAACAAAACAAAAACAAAAAAAACAAAAACAAAAGTACTTATACATGTACAGTGCTGTGAACTGAATTCCGACCCCTGAGCGGTGCGCTCACATCGCAAAGACGCAACATGGGACAAAAACCACGAAAATAGAGACCGCTAGAATGTGAACGCACCACCGCTCAGTGGTCGGATTTCAGTTGCAGCACTCTAGTTGTGGTGGTAACTGCATGCAGCAGAGTGTACCGAAATACGGAATCGCAACAGGCTACTGCCTTCGTGGAGGCGACCGTAAATTAGGCATATGCGGATAATGCGGGCAGAAAAATTGGCCGAGAATTCGGTGCTTTTTCTGGTAAGTTTCATGCATGTTTGGTATGTGGATAAAGAAATGGAGCAGAATTCGAGGAATTGCACGCCATAAGGTTTGTATGGTTCTGCCAATTTCACTGCTTTTCGAGCAGAATCTGACACCTTTTCGAGCATTATCGGCACACCCCTACGGCGTAAATGGGATTCTACTAAATGAAATTATTGTAAAAAACGTTATGAGCTCGTGTGGTTATTATGCCTGAACACCAGCTTCTTATCAGCCAACGACCGATATGAGGCGATGCATGAGTGTGCAGCAATGCAATCAAGAACAGTATGCTCAGAGCCCGAACCAGTACTCCCCCATTGGAACCACGTACTGATGTAGGCATGGTTGAATGTACAGTCATGTACATGTGCATGTATTGTCGTCGTACATGGTGTAGTTGAAACGTTACTACTATGTGGATTGCCCTATTCAAAATTTAAATAATAATAATATTAATTGTAAGAAATAGTTTGCTCCCCACACCGGAGCTCGCGCTATTCCGCCGACTTTACTTGACACTTGACTGACTCACGACTGCCATCCAGAGCACACGAGAAGTCCATATTGAGCAGGGAGTGGTGCTTTCTTGCAGGTTTGCCGAGTCGAAGGTTCGATGGACTTCTCGTGTGCTCTGGATGGCAGTCGTGAGTCAGTCAAGTGTCAAGTAAAGTCGGCGGAATAGCGCGAGCTCCGGTGTGGGGAGCAAACTATTTCTTACAAATCATCGCCGAAGTCGCAACCACTACTTCATAATATTAATTGTACATGTAAGTAACGTGTTACGAACGTACTACTTGTAGTCTTCGTGTGAGATAACTCTCCCCAGCTCACCCACGCATGACGAATACTAAGTTTTTTTCTGGGCAATCAGCCTTGTCAAGTGTCACGCCGGGAACACAGAACAAGACTGCAGACAATGCGCATACCTGAGCGTGACCTGGTGACCGGCTAGGTGCGTCTGGTGGTGTACAGTGTATCGGGCTGCGTTGCGGGGATGAATGGGCCCTGGATCACGTTGTAACACGGCGTAGATCTACGAGGAGTATCAGACATGATCTGGTGGGCTTGTCTAGTCATCACAGTATTTACTAGTATTACTAGACGTTCGCAATCCATTCTTACTGGTAGTGGTACCCTGCCACATCAGTCCAGTTTAGGAGCATGATAACAAATGTTTCATCTCGCTGTACTGTGCAGCAAGAGCGGAGGTAACTCTTGTTTGATTCTGATCTCCAGTGCAATGCCAAGCGCTGCCACGGTTCCATACCTCCCATTACTGGTACTTCATGTATCTTCAGTCCATATCGAAGTTAAAATATTAGTCAACTTCGGTAAAGTAAAGCTTGCACGTGCGCGTTACCACCGGCTATGCAATTGTGTTGAAGAACACAAGCAGCTTAGGAAGTTTCGCTTGTGTCAGGCCACCACCATGTCTGGTATACCAATGACTACATGTATGTGGCAGATGCAGCGCCTAGCGGCAAGGGTGAGGTGGTGAATCTCACAAACCTCTTTACCTGCATCCATGTTACCCTCACTACTGACCCTAGCACTCTGAGTCTGTGAGTTGTGAGTACTGTACCCAGTTGACCGCGTGGGTACCGGGTGTAGGCAAAAGAATACCATAGCTCGCTGCTCGTATTCATGCTTATGCGCAATAAACATGCCAGCAACACAATAGCAGCAGCGATTTGCCGCAGTACGCAGTATCTTTACTGTAGGTCCTCGTCATGGTAGGGAACAGCGCCAAATATCTGTACCGCAATGACGCACACACATGCACATGAATTCAGTCAATGTCTTGTTAGTCTGTTGTTTTGTCATTTCCTGCTTCTTTCTTCTTTTACGAATTGGGTGCGTGGTTTCAAGTAAAAAAAAAAAGAAAAAAAAGAAAAAAAGGCACATGCGCTTATGAGTGAGTTTTTGCGTTATTTGCTATTTTTTGCGGGTCGTTTTGTCTCGCATTCAAAAACACCAGACATTGTATTTGTCTTATGCAAACAAGGCCGGTCTAGGCAGCTCGAGGTAGAGTGCTCAATGCCCGAATGTACATTACAGAGCAGTATACACACACACAAGTCACAACAGAGGCGAAAGGCTGTGTACATGTACATGTAGCTGCATTTCAGCGATCATGGGACAGCAGCATTCACTGCGAATGCTGCTGTCCCATGATCGCTGAAATGCGTGAAACTTAAAGTTACATTATACTATAACCATAGAAACCTCATGGCGGGCAATTCCTCGAATTCTGCTCCATTTCTTTATCCACATACCAAACATGCATGACACTTACCAGAAAAAGTACCGAATTCTGCCAATGTTTCTGCCGGCATTATCCGCATATGCCTACTGAGTCATGACTCGACTACTAGTCATGTAGATTTCACCTGTCCATTCAGGTCGTATAGATTGTCTCGTGTGCCAACACAAACAGGCGATGGCGCCGCCGTCTACATGTATTTCTGTGACGAGATACTCAGTGTGCTTCATAAGGACAATACAGTAGAAGTGACTACCGTCGTCCACAGTGGTCCAGTGCATGCGAGTATGTACCTCATACGATTAGCCATGAAGAGAGAGAGATAGAGATAGATAGATAGATAGAGAGAGAGAAAGAGAGAGAGATAGATAGAATCAGCTATTCTCTCAGCGAACGGCAAGCCACACGTAGTATTACGTACATGTGTGTGCGATCACTTTTTGCAGTAAGTACAGTTTTAAGTAAAGCTAGTAGCGGAGCTAAGTGAAATACTTCTACCTCATTACTTGTTAGGGGAAGGGAATGAAGTGAGTTTCACACATTTAATTTTCTTCTGTTCATGCCCGAAACGTGCTGTTCTCAAATGACTGAAGACCCCAGCGCTAGGTCGCCGACTGATGATGTGTTACACCTTTAGCTGAGTTTTCTCCCATGAGGAGGGTCTAGCCATTTGAATTCCGTGTGCTCGTTCCGCTGCTGACGTTGACGACTTTCACTCCAATAACCTATGGTGTTGTATTAACACCCTGATGAGTAACGACCTGTGCGTGCCGTTGTTACGACTTCCGAAATGCTTTCCCAACTCATGGAAGTTACAGTCAACTTGGCTAATAACGACTTCGGATATAACGACAATTCGCGAATAACGACAGCTTTTCCATGCCCAGAGCAAAGTCCCATCCCACTGTAATACATAATAATGAGACTTCGGGTATAACGACACTTCGCGAATAAGTACACCTTTCTGATGCCCCGCCGAGTGTCGTTATAAGCGAAGTTGACTGTACTTGCGTTGTAGTTGATAGGAAGTTCACGCGTCGGAGATTGGCACCGTCAACCCCAGGTGGGTATCCGCGGTGAACGTGACGGAAACTGCCTCGAAAAGTAGGTGGCACTTTGGTCACTCGGGGAGATGAGAAAGGAATGCTTCGCGTCCAGTTTCTGTATGCCTAGCTACACAGAGCGGCTTGGTGAAATCCGATCGAGTGAATCGGCTTTGCGCCCTCCACTGTACAAGAGTAAACCACAGTGTTTGCAGATCTAGGGCTACACATCGCTGGGCGAACATTGTATGCTAGACTCACTTGATCGGATTATATTGAGCAGGACTAGTATACTCTGTACACGTAGCTGCTCTGCATCGTGGGTGAATTTAAAGCCTGCGTTGGTCTTCTTCATTTCTAGTTTTAGTCCCGTTCGGACAGAAAAACACAGTGGACAGACGCTATGTTGTTACTCGCAGAGTCTTGTAAATAGTGCAATGTTGAGACGCGGAGAATACAGCCGTATTCACATACAGTCTTACTACTTACAGTTTTCCCTTCGCAGAAAGTCTAAGGGAAAAAACGTGGTGAGAACACTAGTATAATGTTCAAGGGAATGTACCTGCGATGACCCGACTTCTGCTAATTTGAGGTCTATTTTTCTGATTGTCTTCACCCTGCCTCCACTCATTGTTACTTTCATTTTCTTATTTTTTGTTTTCTCTTCGTTTCTGACTCTTCTTACTGATTGTCATCGCTTTCATAGAATTGGGTAGGACTGCCCGTTTGACAGGCGATAGAAAATAAGTAAACAACAACGAACAACAACAGCCTGTCCGTCGCAAAGTTAAGACGCTTCGTGAGGGCCGAATTCGAACCACTTTTATGTTTATGTATCTATGTCATTCGGATCTTCCCAAGTTGTACATTGTACTGTTGAGATACCGAATTCAAATAAAATAAATCAATAAAAAAAAACCGCTTGGTACTTCAGCTGTTTTTCATGTTCCGTACAGACTACTTCAAGTGGTTAGGTCGATACCGTGAGCGGCCGTCTTCTCTCTTCACTTCGTTCAGGAAATCATTGGAACGATGCGATGCAATCACGTGCGCGCGTGAGAGAGAGAGAGAGAGAGAGAGAGAAATTCACGGGATCTACTAATGCTATGTGGTTGAAATAGCTTTCTTTCGTCATGTTGTTCTTTACCTGTGTAGCTTGCATCTGGACTTGACTTCCCGCTTGCTCCTATTGGATGTTGAAGACCTGGCTTTGTGAGGTGAACGTATTGGCTCTTCTCTTCTCGCCTTGCACACACTGACAAGCTGACAGAACCGAGCGGAGCACGGATGCCATCATGTCGAAGGAGACGGAACGCAAGAGCGGCGAGCGTCGCCACTCGCGGAAACAGGTAGGTACTTACGCTAGCGTGCGCGTATTGCGTCAGCGTGCGTGTGTGTGTGTCGGTATTTGTGTGTGCGTCTGCGCATCTGTACGTGTCTGTGTTATTAACATTATTGGGGGATTCCCATAAGCAGAAGCCTAAACCACCCTGTCTCCGAGACTAATACTATTATCGTTGTTAGATACTTCTTAAAATGTGCGCAAGCTCCACTGCGACCACTTAATTATTATGCAAAGCCCTACACACACCATCCTAAAAATCAAGTGGTCTCTTCGCTGCAAATAATTACGATATTTCAATCAAATTTTCGGCCACCAGCCATCATCAGGATTGAGGAGAAAAACAAGTGAGGTGGACCTATCATACAAATTACAACACGGACACTTTGCTAAGGACACCTCACTTGTCAGTCACCAACTCCTATGGAAGCGAGCGCTCGGGACCATACGGCAAAGCATTAAAATTAATGTTCTTAATGTGCGCAAACTCCACTGCAGCCACTTCATTACATGAAAATCCCTACACACACTTGTAACATGCGATAAGGTAAGGTAAGGTAAGGTCTTGTGGAAGAGAAGTTTGCATGAGAGCTGTGCACGCTTCTGTGTGCGTGTGCTCATTGTGTTTTCCTTCGATTGCTCTCACTTGTAATCGACGCCTGAGGTGCTGAGGTATATGATATTACTGGAGCAACAGGTTCTGTCGATATGCTCCTGGGGTTTTGTGGCCATCCGTGGGTCTCCACATACACAACTCGCCCTACGAGTGGATGGTAGATGCTGTGCCTCGACTATAGTCGCTTGGAAATGCATTCCATTTCCGCGTCCTTTTCTTACACCACTCCTGTTTTCCTCCTGGACGCCATCAGATACCCAAGCATACATGATAGGGTTGCCCAATGATTACGCATTATGCACGGACATCGGACTGGTGACACTACGCGCCACTACGAACCCTGGTCCTATCTTTTACCTCGACATACTAGCACCGATATGCAAGCAACCTTTTTCACTCACTGCGGGGTGACCGAATAGTCGCTGTTTGACTTTTCTGGGGAGTTTTCCCTTTTGCTGAGGACGTGGGCTGAAGAGGATACGTTCGCAAGAGTTTCGACTATTCCAAATGTAGCAAAATGGATTCCCATGTACACGTACCATGCGCACAGTAGAAGGTGGAACCTTATTAAAAAAAATTGGTTTCAACACCAGAGTTCACGCAAAGCGATTCTAAGGCAACGGTAACATCAGTCGTATACAGTCGTCCCTCTCTAATCCGGCACTTTATAATCCAGCACCCTCGATAAACCAGCACAATTTTCAGTAGCCAAAATGTCCTCTTCATGCACATTGCAGCAGTAAATCAGATTTGTTAATCCAGCACCCTCCCTAATCCAGCAGATTTTCGTGGCACAAATGGTGCCGGATTATAGAGGGACCACTGTACCTGTAAGTAGAACTGATTATACTGCAGACGGTTGGAATAAAGGAGTCAAGGAGTTTGGTCTTGAATCTGCACAGTAGTGAACTGGGGAAATCCCTAACAAAATAAGAAAAAATAATAATAACAACTGCGGAAGGTCTCTTTATTAGCAAGTATTATTCTTTTATTCCACGATGGCGTGACGCCAGTAAGGACGATTAATAAGTGTGATAGAACTGATACTAGCCAGAAACAGCTAGATGGAAATTGCCCGGGGAGGCAAGAAGCAATTGATCATGAAAAACAAGTGGTTTAGAAAGTCCTTATCATGATCTCTGTCTCCACAGTAACACACACTCAACAAGATGTTGCTGATCGTCGTACATCATTGACCTGTGGATTATTGTTTGTTCTTTGGCTAGGTTCGATATTTTAAAGTACATGGACATGTACATGTACATGACTGTACAGGTCACGTGTTACAGTGTAGCGTCTACACTGCACTCAAGTACAGTACATGTACAGTGCTGGCAACTGAAATCCGACCCCCCTTGCTGGCGCGCCGCGTCGGCAAGGGGGTCGGATTTCAGTTGCCAGCGCTGTACTAGCGTGTACAGTGTAGCCCGTGGTGCATAGTGTATGGGTGAAACATCAACACTACACTACACTACACTACAGTATTGCCTGGAAGCCCTGCATGCTCTGTACCGCCTGGCATGTAACCAGGCGGTCACGGGTACTAGCAATATTAGCTCAGCGGAGATCGATGTGAATAATTAACACACCGGTTGTCCCTATCGTCCGTTACACATAGCACACATAATTGTTTTTTAAGTTAAGTTATGTACTTGAAAGTACAGTACTTCATTGTGCCGCATACCAGGTAGTGGTAGCAGTGCATACACATTGTACGAGCGACTGCAGTAGCAACGCGATCGACTATTTCCTTCCGGTGATGTCCAGAAACCCCCCTCGTCTATGTGAAACGTGCAAAGCAATGATGAGAGACATTTCGCCGTCACTGAATAGTAAAACATCGCTACTTCAGCATGACTGGTGATTGGCACGGATGGCAGGATTAATTAATACAGCCTTTGAAGACAATGCTTAGCAGACCTTGGAAGGCCGTTCGTCCTGACGTTACCAGTAGTTTCTTGCAGTTTGTTTATTTGTTTAGCTTTATTTTACTTCGTCATAGGCACAGGCAAAATCTGCCTTCTCAGTAGACGTATTACCACAGTTCTCGCAAAGTGGTGAAGATCGATACTGATATGACACAAAAAGGAAGAGGAAAATATAATAATTATAGTTTAGCACTTCAAGTCGTTTGTTTGTTTGTATTTATTTAGATTCGCAAATTCAAACGGGCATAGAACCGAATAACATGAAAGCGAATATGAAAATTATAATGAGAATGAGAATTAAAATACTTAGATCTTCAGCGTAGAGTCAGCGGTACATCAGAGGGAGATCGGGTACAACAGAGGGAGATGGGGTACATCAGAGGGAGATCGGGTACATCAGAGGGAGATCGGGTGCAACAGAAAGAGAACAGAAAGGCAGAAGATTTCGCTTGTCTTCAGCATCTACAGGGCACAGGTATAGGGGATGCCCTTTGAAAACCTCAAGCAGCCTCTGAACATTGGTCAAACGTTACGCGAGCACACCTGTATTGTGTGGGCTGTGACAAGCCGACGGGCAACATCATTACATGCAATAATATATTATAAGTTTTAAGCGATTCCGATTCCGATTGGATATAAAGCACGACTTTAAAGGCAATGCTGTAATTCGATCTCGGATAGAGAGTACCTCGGTTAGAAAGGTCATGGCATTGGAGTTACGTCATACGGCCTTTTCCCCCTTTAGCTTTGCGCGTCTTCTGGCGCATTCATGCATTGAAACGGGTGGATCGGAATTCGTTACTTATGGTGGAAACCGATCTCTGTCTCCACCACTAGGTTATGGAGCAGGGAGGCAATCATCTCCTCGGGCAGGAAGATAACCTTGTACCATTCTGGGGCGCAGTAAGTCAATCGAACAGCGGACACACACGAGCTCCATGTTCTGTACCCACACCCTCACCAAGCCATTCCATGTAGCTAGTTGACATGTTAGCAAGCAAGAGAGGCACACGAGCACTACAATACACACGGAACACAGCCAAGAATGTCTGGGTGTGAACAGGTCAATGTCGGCCAAACATGATTCGCGAATCCCTATTCAGCTCATAACGGAAACTACGCGGGTTCTCCGAGTGAGTCCTACGGACACTATTAGCCTACACTTCATTCAATTCGCCCCCAAGTAGTATGCATGCCGTGGATCTGTTGTGTAGGTTTGAATTAGTTAGCTTTGCAGATGATTTCGGTAGCCGTTGGAGAGTAGTATTTTGGGAAGTTTGCATACCTGGTCACCAGTTCTGGCTCATGAGCAAACAGCCATCTCTCGTTCAGAGCGCGGCCAACTCGTTCAAGGCAGTCGCTCCGTGCCAGTTCCTCTTCTTTGTGTGAAATTCGTATAGACTGTTGGGCCTCTACTCTATCCTGCATTCCTGTTCGGTCCACGTCGCCTGCTCTTGTTGCCCTCCTGAACAGGCCACGTTTAACACACCCTGATAACTTAGCCGAGTGTCTTGTCCTCTGACAAAACCATCTGGCTGCATTTCCGCTGTGGCTAGCAGGCCCTCCGGTGGTGATATTGGATCGCGCGCCCTCCAACAACATCATACTAACGTTTGTATTGGTGTTGGTGGCTTGGAAGACGGTTTCATTTGGGGTTCAATGGCACGGCATACATGTAGCGTCAGTGGTGCCTCGTGCAAAGAGCGTACAATCACTCATGGAGTCCTGATTAGGACTAGGTGCTACAGCGGAATGGCGACAACTTTATCGTCCTTCAGGGGGTGGGGAAATTTCATGTCAGACATACTACTTTTTTTGCATTCAATTTTTTTACATACTACATACATGCACTATGGACTTCGACGTACGATTGTTGTCTAAAATGCTTGCTCATCTCGTCGACGTCTCGTCCTGGATCCGCCCAGGATTACGTGTCTGCAGTGTACTGTCAGTTGACTTTATCCAACCACCGCCTTTCGTCAGTGCGGACTGTGTGGCTTGGCCTCTCCGTCGCCTGCAGTTGTCGTATTTCGATCACGCACAGGAGAACAATGGCGCACGATCCGTCCGACGGCACTCCTCTATTACAGGTTCTCTATGACCCCAACTTCCTTTGCCCATCCAGAAAGTACCAGTACTTGTGCGAGGCGCGCAACCGTTTACAATCAGCTTGTTATCGGCGCAGTGTTGGTCCCTATTGTGCGAATCTTCCCCGTTGCCTGCAGGCAACAATGGTGGCCTAATCGGTATTGAATTGCGCGTGAAGTGTGTGAAGCGGCATTCGTGTAAGTACACAACTGACCAACCGGCATACCCTATACGAGATCAACAGGCACACATCGCTATGCTGGCGGTGATACCGACGCATGCTACATGTATCAGACATAATCATTTTGATGTGACTGTCAACTTCATGAAAAGACTACGTATGTACCGGTACATGTGTTATACGTGTAGGTCCTG